CATTCAAAAGAAACGTCAGAACAAAGACCTGGTGGAGCTGCAGTCGCTGATCGACGCTCATTTTGAGTGCAGGAAGAAGGAGGAGGAGGAGCTCATCGGCCTCAAAGACAGAATTGTGAGACTTCACTCAAACACTTAACAATTACATGTGTACTTTACTGATGAGGTTTGTTTTTTAAAGCTTAATGTAATCCCAAACATGTTCAGCTTCATCGTTTTCATTTTGTTTTTCAGGACAAGCGTCGTGCCGAGCGAGCCGAGCAGCAGAGGATTCGCGCTGAGAAGGATAAAGAGCGACAAGCCAGGCGGGAGGTGGACTGTCAGCTTTTTATCTAAAACTATTCACAGCAAACAACTTGATTCTAATCTCCTGTTTTCTTAGAATAGACTCCAAATACCCATCAGTGTTCCTCCACAGAAAGAGCTTTTTACTCACTCACTTCTTAACTTAGACTTAGACTTAAGACTAAAGAGTCACAACGACCTCTCCTAAGAGTTTAACGTTTGTTTCATATCTCATACACTCAGCAATCACTGCATGTACATGACACAGTACATTTATACATTACTGCAACTAGGTGATAAGTTTGATGACTGGAGGTGAGATAACGAGTTTTCTGATTGATCCCCAGGCTGAGCGTCTGAGGAAGGAGGAGGCCGATGCCCACAGGAGGTCTGAGGATGAGGCCAAGAAGAAGATGACACTGAGCAACATGGGGTCGGGCTACAGCAGCAGCCTGCAGAGGGTACCACTTTTATCACTTAGGTTTAGTTTTTCTTTGACTTTCAAGTGAAGTGAAGGCCCGGAGTTTAAAGCACTTTCACTTTTCTAGATCGAGCAGAAGAGAGGCAAGAAGCAGACTGAAAGAGAGAAGAAGAAGAAGACGTTGTCGGAGCGATGCAAACCCCTGAACATTGATAACTTCAGCGAGGACAAGCTGAGGTAACTCACAGACAGAGATGGTAGCTGATTAACAAGAGGCTGCACATTTACGACAAAATCCTGTACCAATAAATAAACAATCATAACTGTACTAATCCTATCAGATCCTCCCTCACAACCATTCTTTAGTTCTAATAGTAATCCAGTGACAGAAGTTTGAAACTAGATGTGTGCATTACTAACAGGAAGTGCAACAGGCTAATCAGGAACACTTTTAATTATTTTAATTAGCCCAGATTTGTATTTTGCCCAGGTAGAGACAGAAAGAAGACATCCTTTACTCATAATTATTACTCCTTTACTTGTTTTTTTTTTGGAAAAGTTCAAATACAGATAAAAAAATAAAATACAACTCTTCTGCGTCTGCTTATTCAGTTTTCCGTGATGTATTTAGACTTAGAAAACTTTATTCATCCCAGAGGGCAAGTCGACTCCAGAGTCCACCCAGACCATGCATACATTTACAAACAAACTTGACAAAGTGTCAGCTGGCACGCTGACACCCTCATGTGGTCTCTTTGGGCAATGACACCCACAAGGGCCAGATGAAACGTTTAAGGACAACAGTAATAAATCAATAAATATATAACCAAGACATTGTAGGTTGAACCGCTGCCACATTGAAGACTACAATCAAGGAATGTACATACAGACCTCTGCTGCAGAAGTCTCAGGAATAATCCACTTTATCGTTAAACCCAAGAGCACGGGACACGATAGAGAGAGACATGAATACAAGGATGTTTTCATTCAGAGTGGTTACTATCAAGATTTAGCAGCCTGATGGAGGATTTGAATAGTGGTTTGTCGTCCTTAGGGGTCGTATGAAGTGGTGGCATGAGGGCATTACCTTGAACTCAGTGGACTGGACGTGGTCGTGTTGGGACATTATTCCCTTAGATTTTTGTAAATGTTGTGTTTTAAGTGTGTTTAATAGTTTTTTATGTTTGACTTTGCGTATTTAATGGCATGTATTTGAACACGCAGGTCAAAGACACATTTCAGCCTTCACTTGCAAAAGTAGATGATAAAGAATTATTCTCTATTCTATTCTTCTACCATTTACAGTATGAAGTATGAAGAGGTCATTAGCCGCCTGTTTATTTCTTGTTTTCTGTTCGTCAGGGATAAGGCGAAGGAGCTGTGGGAGTGGCTGTACAGCCTGGAGGAGATCAAATACGACCACAATGAGGCGCTCAAGAGACAGAGATATGAGGTGAGTGAGGGCGTGCTGCTGCTGTGACACTAAACTCTGGATCAAAGCTTGTGTCTATATCCTGTTTCTAATGTGTCCACCTCTGCATTGATTAAAGATTTGTGTTATTATTTAAACAGTAAGCAGCTAAAGTTTCATCTGTATATTTCAAACTGCAGCTTTTTCCAGCTTCTGGTATTTATTTCTCCTCTGGTGGGACAGAAAGTTTCCGTACAGTTTACAATCAGAGTTCTAACTTCTCCCTTTACAAATCACTTTCCTTCTCGGGGTGAATGATCCAGCACAGCTCACAGCCACTTCTTCATTCATTCATTCGTTTGTTTGATTTTGTTCTGTTCAAGAAGTATCTACACTGGAGCACCAATAGCCTAAAGGTTATGTCATGCGTCACATGTACAGAAGCTATAGTCCTCGTTGCTGTGGGTTCAACTCTAACCTCGGGCCTTTGCTGCACTCTCTCTCCTCCCAACATTTCCTCTCATCAGCTGTTCTATCCAATAATGGAAAAAAGGCCCACAAATAACTTTAAAAGACTGCCCTTTGTACGAGAAGAAAAGTAAACAGGAACAAAAATATTTACATAAAACATTCATTTTGCATAATTCTTTAATTCAAACAAGGAGACTTGTAGATTTAGTTCAATCGTTGTTGTTGTTGTAATTTTTTTAACCTTGTCGCTTTAAACCAGAGAGAGTGAAAGTCCTGAAGGTGTCCAGGTGAGATAACGTGTGTTTGTTTTTCAGGTGATCTCTCTCAGAAACCGTATTGACGAGCTGCAGAAACAGTAAGTCACATATCATAGTTAATAATAAAGTGATAAACATGTATGTTCATAAACTCAGATCTTCCTGCAAAGAAGTGAAACAGCGATGGAATATGAAACTGGACTTCAGTTACGTTTGTTCATGTTGCTGCTGTACTTAATTACAAAATATAACTTAAAACATGTATAGCTGTCAGTCACGCGACTGGTGTGGAGACCTGCAGGGCAAAAACAGTTTAGGAAGTTAGCGTTTACGTCACCTGACAACCACAGAAAAACAGAGGTATTCAGATAAACTGCATGTTTTTTATTCACCAATTAAGAAGAGACTATTTCAAACTCTGACAACTGCAAAGTGTGAGCCAGAACTTAACCTTGGTGATGTCTTCATAGATTTAGTGGAGAATCCTTCCTCTCATGCTGATAAACAAATAAAATATCAGAATCAGAACAGTTTCTTATTGACAAGTAGACCTAGGCCACATTTACACATGTGAGGAATTTGACTCATTTCTTTTCTTTTTTTAAATTAATACTTAGCCTACAATCTTATAAGTCAAATATACATTTATTGGTTGTCATGGTGATTTAATCCTCATTACAGCTCCCTCTAGGTGATTTCTTTTGGTTATTTTGTTGTATTTAATTGTACAATTCTCTAAACTTCAGTGTTGTTATATTAGACATAATTCCATTTAGCCTCCGGGTTTAAACAAAGTTCTTTGACTGAACACATGAGGGCGCTGTCGCTTCAAAAGTAGCTGGTTTGTTTCTCTACATTTCTTGACATTTGACAAGATCTGTGTTTCATATCAACGATCATCCACGATGAATCCCTGACTCGGTTTTTGCTCTTTGCGCTCTGCAGCAGCAAGAAGGGAGCCGCCAGTCGCCGCAGGAAGTGAGCGGCTCGTGTGGTGACGGTGAGCCCGGGCAGGAGGCACCTCACCCCGGGTAACACAGCAACTGAGACCCCGTAGAACCCCCCGCAGCCCCAGAAGAAAGGCAACAACTGGCAACAGTCTTAGCGCCTGTGTCTGCTCGAGTGAAAATGTTTTCCTGGATGAATTTGACTTCAATAAAGACATTTTGAAAAAAATATCTCCCTTGTGTTTGTTAGAAAAAAGAACCGTTTCAGACAATATCAGAATAATACCTTAACTACCATTAATACATCTCTTCAAATCAACTAGTTTTGTGTAAAGATACAATATCAATTCAAGTAGTAAACTGCAACACAGAACAGTAAAGGTGAGGGTTAAACGTCAGAAATAATGTTTCCTTTTTTAACAAACCTGCATTTTAACAAATTATTTAAGATGTAGGCTTAGCCATTTTATAGTCTACATGGATTATTTGTATGAGCATGTTATTTTTTATCTATTGATGGATAGGCTAATTAACACATCAACATCACAGATGTTTTAAAATTAATAGCCTACAGTCGTCTCGTCTGAACTTTATAGAACATTTTACAGGAAAAGTTTTCATAAACTCAGCCTTGATTTTATTTAATTTTTTTAAGGATTCTTTTTGAGGCTTTTTTTTTCTATTTTAGAGACAGGACCGTGGATAGAGTCAGAAACCAGGAAGAGAGAGAGAGTGAGTGAGTGATCCAAAGGCGAAGACAGAAAGGCTTCTTCACTTGGTGAGAGGTGAATCTTCTTCAAGAGCTTCAACTAAATCCAGTTACTCTGGATCAGGCTTCAAATGTACCAAGACCTGGGTGACTGAGAACCTGTACACAGACATATTAACAGCTTGTTTTCAGCGCCCCAAGTGACCAAAAACATGTTGATGATGTCTTGGGAAGAAGATGACTGCAGTTTAAAAAAAATGTCAGCATGTAGGCTTTCTTGAGGAAAAAAGTCAGTTCATTTTAGAGGCTATAACAAGGAAATTTAAAATAAATCATTGAAGCAGATCAGAGAGGACACACAGTGAAATATATAAATATTTATTAAAATACCATTCACTCATAAATAATGTACGAACAAACAAATGGCAAGTCAATCTCAACAACCCTTGTGTCTGTGTGTGGGTGTCGTATTTACAAAATGTACAAAATGGTCCTCACTTCTTATTTTTCTGCAGCTTAGAGAAATATTTCTTTGAAGTGGATGGAAATCAGCAGGTTGGAGTACAAAGACTGAAGCAACAGTCTTGAGAAAAATAACTCAAATGTTCGGGGTAAAAGTCTTATGAGGTCTTTGTTTGGGGGGGTTCAGAGAGGCTCATAGATACTGTTTGGACTGCAGCCTGCAGGGCTGTTCAGAGGAGATCCGGGGCCCAGGGGGACCACGCTGTCGCCCTGGGGGGCCACCGCTGGATCTGTGCTGATCCGCTCTACGATGCTGGACAAACAGTCCAAACTGGAAATGAGTGACCGCTTGTTGGAATCTGTGAGAAAGAAAAAGGAAATTTAGTTTGTGCTCAGCTCTTTAAAACGTAAAAGTTCAAGCTCCAAAGATATAAAATGGTTTCAGGAGTCATATCAAGGTGCCACTAATAGCCATCATAGGGAAAGGTCACACTAAAATAGGCAATGATCAGAATGAAACTGATATTTCAAGTGCAAATTATCAAATAAGAAGTGAAACTAAAAAACTAAACTAAACTTTGGCACGCTTCGGAGAGGTGTGCTTAGGCACGGTACACTTCATGCATGAGCACAAGCACGGGTACACAACGTGGAAGGCCTTCATTATGAAGAGAAGGCATACATATTTCTGTATAAACAGGTTTTAAGAAGTGAGTCATGGTCAAATGAAGTTGACTCATACTGAAGTAAAAAAATATGTCATATAAAGGAGTGACCGTGAGAAACTGACCGTCTGTCCGGCTGCAGAAAGAGCCGTCGCTGTTTTCACTCTTGGCCGAACATGAAGAGATGAAATCCGTCTGCAAACACACGTCAAAGAAGACACATTTAGTCACAATTTCAACACACATTTTCTGTTATGGAGGATAATGTTGTTAGAGAGTCAGAAAAAGAAGAAGAAGTAGTAGAAGTGAAAGTAAAAGAAACATTTTGTAACATTTTTAAAACATTTTATGCCCAGAATTTTAATTTCTTCTGTCCCTTTTTGTACAGTTTTTTTGTTCTGCAGAGTTTGTTCAGCTAGCTTAAAATCAAAGATGACATTTCAGTCCATGAAAGTCTTCCTTTTTTTTTTAAATTTTGCATCAAAGCTAAATAATCTGAGGTCAAAAGGATGTTGATCTTTTTTTTTGGAAAACTTTCCAAAGCAACTTCTCAACAAAAATACATCCCAAAATATTTGACCTTAAATTATTGATCATGGTTAAGCATTTATGTAAAAATAAATGTAATGAATATATTCTAATGATGCACTTGTATGGTTTAAACACAAAAAAACACAAATGCTCTGACTGTTAAATACAGAAAAGTTGCACATGTGTTGATTTTAAAGTTTAAAGAAAAAAGATTCAGGCCTTCATTTAAGATGGCTTTAAAGGTTCTCTCCTTTAAAAACCGAATTGCAGCTCTGAGGTCTGAAATAAATATCCTCCACACATTCCAAACATTTCCTGCAGCACCACATGAACCGTTCAGCTGTTCTCGCCTCACCGTGCCATCGGAGCAGTTGGAGTGGGGGCTGGAGGCGTCTGAGTCTCCGCTGTAGTGCTCGAGCAGCGGGTAGAAGCTGTCGTCTCGGCCCGTCCTCAGCAGCGCCTGCAGGGACTCGATGTAGCTGATGGCGTTTCTCAGGATCTCCACTTTGGGCAACCGCTGGTTGGGATTGGACGCCGTGCAGCGCTTCAGGGTCTCGAAGGCGTCGTTCACCTTACCGAGCCGCCGCCTTTCCCGCATGGTCGCTGCTTTCCTGCGGTCTTCGTGTGTTGTCTTTCTCTTGCAGGCTTTGCAGGCCCAGAGCAGGCAGTGCCCCGACTGGTGGAGGCCCCCGGGGGCCCGCACATGCTCGTCCTCCTCCTCCCCGTTAGGAACGTGATGGTTGTGTTGGTGATGGAGGTGAAGATGGTCCTCCGACTTCAGCAGGCCGGCGTGCATCAACCGGGAGTCCAGGTCGTCGAAGAGGTTCATGTCGCTGGTGCTGAAGCAGGGGTCATCGTAAAGGTCATCAGCTGAGGAGAGAGGGAAGGGAAGATCGGACAGATCCATCGTCCCCTGCAGGAGATTCCCTCAAGAAACAAGATGATGAAGACGAGGAAGAGTCCTCAGAAACGTTCCTCTGATGACTCAAAAATGTTAAACAATTCACAAAATGTCTCCTATTAGTTTGAGACAAGTTTAGGACACAGAGAAGAACGTTTTGTCTCCTGTCAAAGTCAGCTGATCTTTAGGAAATCAGTTCAAAGCTGTGTGTGCAGATCTGAGTGTTTAAAGGAGCAGTCTGTGTAACTTCTACTCCCTGTGCCTGGCGTGACTTTTTAAAGGAGTCACTGTGTGGGCGGGGCCGTGGTGTCAGTGACCAATGTTCTGAGGGGTGTGGTGTAAGTGTGTGTGTGTATGTGTCTCTGAGTGTGTGTCTCTGAGTTTGTGTTGGGGGGGGGGTCACTGAGGTGATTCTCAGACACAAAAAGGAAGCAATAAAAAAGCAGTTAAATCCATCTTCACAAATCACTCTGTCTCCAGGTGAAGCTCTTGTCTCTTCCACTTATTGTATAAATGTATTCTTCTTCTGTACTTTACTTGTTTCTTTATTTCATTTTATTTACAACATGAAGTCAGCTGTTTTGGTGCTGGGCTTTTCTGTTTTATTCCATTTCCATCACTTTTTTTTTTAAATCCCTGTGTAAACTCAGGAATTAGAAAAGGTCTGTCAACAATCACTCATTTCAGAATCAGAAATATTTTGTTAATCCCAAAAACTCATTTATCGATCATTTTAGGGATTTGAAACGACCTTTTGATGACTTCAGTAAGGCTTTTTCCAGTTTAGTCTACTCCCAGTTTGAGATATTTTAAGGGAATAAAGCTTTGTACAAAAACATTTACATAAATCAAAATAGTACATTTACAAATGTACACAATCCAACTGAAATTGGATGTGTTTCTTAATTTAATGTCAGCATGTTGTTTTTAAGAATAATTTTTTTATTCAACTAATTTTGTTTCTACAGCACACAGACATCGGCAGAAACTAAAACAAATTTATACTTCGCAGATTCATTTTCACCCTTCCCGCTTTGGGCTTCCGTATATTTCAGCATTTTTAAACTCTATCATAATAAATGAATGAAAATCAGATTTATTGTGACTGATCAAAACCTGAGCAAATGTTTGACAACAGACTCAGTGAGCCAACAATGAACCTTGACCTTCTTGGCATTTTTGAAACCAGATTTTAAACCTCCCAGCCTCTGTTAGTAACTGATTAACACAAGTGTGTTTTATTTACTGCATTTGTTTTTTAAGCTCGCTGAATTATTTTAGTACATTTTAGATTTTTCTTACACTCTAGTATTTACTTATAACTAAACTAATTGTCTTAGCTTCTTAGAAAACCCCAGTTTGTTGATTTTAGCAGTCATGTATTTGTCTGTCTCTGAATTAATTCTGTAAAGACTCGATGTCTTTGTAAATGAGGAGTATTAATCCCAGGGGGAAGTTCAGTGTTAACATTGCTCTTCACACAATACAGCAGTAGGAATAGAAATAAAATAGAGATAATAAAATAAGCAATAAGTACCAAGTAGGGTTACTATAATAAGATATACAAAGCAATATTTACATTATGAATGTACAAGATGAACTGTGTTGTACTGTGTACATATGTACTATATATTAGGAGCAACGTGACATTTTCTTTGAATTTATTACCTTTGCTTTGTCTATGTAAACGTTCAGTATGTTTCCATGTCACTAAATCTCTTTTAAATTAGAATTTGTTCATGTGAGGCATCAGCAGAGTCCCACATGTTGTCAGACTCCGCTCTCTCCAGAGGAGCCGAGAATGTGAAGACTTTTAAACGCAGTCTTAAAACTCACGTCAGGCTTTCATGGAGCACTTTACCACTTTATGGCTTTTATTTAAATACTTAAGTTTTTATCAGTATCTATGTTTAAGAGAACATTTTACTGTTTGATTTATGTTTTTTATTATTTCTTATTATTGTGACTGTTTTAGTTCTTACTTTAGTAACACACACAGAATCTTATTTTTACATTTATAAATTAATTCAATCTTGACATTATTTTTTTGTCTTTTTATTTCACTATCATTTTAAACGTTTCTTGTGTGTGTTCATTTGTCTTCACATTGCTTTGCCTCATTGTCTTTTATCACTTTTTCCAGCCATCGTTTTGTTTATTCAATTCTTCTTGGTGTTTATTCATCTCTCAATGATTTTTACAAACTACTTTTTCACTTTTTCTGCACTTTGAACTGTGATTGAATTTGTCTGAAAGGTGCTGTATGAATAAAGTTTGATTGATGTGTTGTAAATGTGTTTTGTGTTATCGTTGACTTTGAGTACATTTTGTATTTTATTGTTGATTTCTTGTCTCTCAGATGAATGTTGTTGTTTATTCTTTCCCTTGCTGTCTCGTTAGTACTCATCGTTCGTTTGTGAACTCGTCGTGTGTTTAGCGTGTATTTGTCGTCCTGTAAATGTGAGAGTTTTCACAGCTCCAGAGGTATAAAGTGAGGTGTGTGGGGACAGAGGAGCTCACATCACAGACTCCTCACAGCTTAATGGGAGGCTGGACGTTAAATTTAGCAGCTTGTGAAATCTAAGACCGCTGCCCTTTAAACTGAGGCTGCTATCATGTTAGAAAATCCCCCCGACTCGCTCTCACACACACTCCTCGCATCTCTGCAGGACACTTTCATAGAAACCCAGAGAATAAGACAGAATCAAATGCTGCATTAAAGGAGTCGATCAATCAAAAGTCTGGCTTTTTGAAGCTCTTTTTTTTGTGTTTGATGCAAAGAGTTACAAAACAGTGTGAACTAAAAACATATCAAGAACATAAATTAATCTAAAACCTGTATTTTCTGCCTAAAGATGCTTCTGAACAGTTTCCAAAAAAAAGTGTTGGACATGAATTCCCAACATGGTTATTATTCTAATGTATGCTTTCTCCAACATGTTGCATGATTGATCAGCAGTGAGAGGGAAGTTACAGTAGCCAAACAGGCATCCCGAACTACTTCAAAATAAATGCACAAATAATGCACAACACTTTTTCATATTCATTCAGATTAAAACAGAGACTGGCCTGGAAGTGATTCAGACTGTTTTATGCCTTTTATCTAACAAATATTTATTTTCCAAAAATAATTAAACATACCGCTTGAGGCTAAAGTCTCTTTTCCCTTTCTTACTTCCTTTCCTTGTTTGTGGCATCGTCATAAGCTCACTAATTCCTACTTAAAATACTCTCTTTAAAGTTGTATTTTTTTAGAGACAGGACAGTGGAGACTCACCGAGGAAGCTGTGTGAACTATAAAGAAGGAAAGTGTGTTTTTGGAGGGACTTGCCAGGTTTGTGAGAAAACAAGGAGTGGGAAACAAATGCAGAAATAACAAAATAATTATTTTAAACAAAAAGGTTCATATGAATTCTCACTTCAGGCTCAGAGACAAAAGGATGGTTGACAACAAGAGGGAAGGAGCACTGAGACTGAACAGACACAGGGGTAATCAGACACAGGTGAGGCTTACGACGCAGGTAAAGACAATCAGGGTGATCAACATGGAGGGAAACACACAGGCCGTATCCGAATTGTCAAGTACATACTCAATCTTTCAGTAGGCAGTAGGCAGTACCTACTATCCGTGCTGTATACTGTTAGTACCTACTATTCAGTATGCACACAGTAGGCAGATATTTGTGCCTACTTCTTCTGATTCATTCAGTATGGAAGTGACGTGAATTACGTTTCCCGAACCGGCCGCATCCACCTGTTTTTTTTTTTGTTTTTTTGTTTAGCTTTATTCAAGAAGAGTAATGCGCATATACAGTCAGGTAAACAAAAAACAATATCACAATGTAAATCTAGTAAGAGACAGATTAAATAACTAAATAACATACAGTACATACAGAAAAGTTCAAATGAAAGACAGTAATATACAGAATATAAAATAAACCAATAAAGACGCATTTAAATAGTGAAATCATTATTTAAATAGAGGGGGAAAGGTTTTATAATAATGCAGACATTTGTTAAATTGTCTGTTGTTAATTTAAAGTAATGATTTCAGTCGGGACTTTAAATTAAGATTAGAAATTGATTAAATTAATCCACGCTCGTTTGTTTTGATTTGGAGGCGGACGTGACGTGACGATTTACGTTTAATTTCGCACTGCATTGTGGGTGGTAAAACACAATTCATTTCCTGAAAGCACGCATCCGATCCATACTGCATGAAACCCGGAAGTTAGTATCCATACTGAAATGTTCAGTATACTGAGGTGGACCCAAAAAATGCATACTGAATGACCACGAGGGTTCAGTATACTGAAAGTCCCTACTGAATAGTACGCACAGCATACTGAACTGTGACTATTCGGAAAGGGCCACAGAGAGGAAAAAAGACGAGAAACACTGGGGACAAAAACAACAAAATAAAACAGGAAACGCATGGTCTGTGGTCATGCACCTATCGCAGGGAATAAACAGTGCCACACTAGATTTCTTACTGCTGGAACTCTTGGTGAATTCATTTTGGTGTCGGGCACATCGGGAAAACGAGTTTCAAGTTGTACAATTCTCAAGAACACCTGCTCAAGTCGGAACAACGACTCAGAAACTCGGGGGAAAAAATGAGTTGCCCTACTTGGCGACTTGATGTCATATTCGTCATCACATGGGGGGTAAAATATGTTTAGTTAATGTTAAGATACTTTTAATTGATTCACATTTTGCACGTCAACATTTTGCTGAAATATAAGCATCTACATTTGTTGTTGTTGTTGTTGTCTGAACTGAAATGACATACTGAAGTTGGAAGAACGAGTCCCAACTTTATTGACAACAACGGGCAATTTAGATCTCCAACTAAGCTAACGAGCATGTGTTAGGACTGTGGAAGGACGGAGAGAACCCACACATACACAGGGAGAACATGCAAAGTCCCATTTATGTATTTATTTATCTTTGCTGATTTGTAGAGAATCTCTCTGCCTTCCTGTCTTGTTTTTGAAACATTTTCTCACCACTCCCTCGCTGATTCCTCCAAATCCTTCTGATCAGAAACAGGATGAGTGTGATGACTGGAAACAACACTCCTCCACACTCCTCCTCCACCTCGTCACTAAGACTATATTTGTTCAAGACAGTAAAATTATTGATTTAGAAGGAATTGATTTCAACACAATTTGTTTGGATATCTGGTTTCACTTGAAAAGAAACTGCTGTGAATATCTTATGCAATACAAAAGGCTATGTGGGATCAAATCTAGAAAAACCTTCAGAACAGTCTAAAGTGATTTTAAACACAGTTCGGTTCAGTGGTTGTGTGGGTCTTTCTCAAGCAAAAGGGTGGAGGTTCAATTCCCGGCCACTCAAACACAGAATTATGTTGTATGAATGTTCTGATG